AGTGACCACAACATCAGGAAAAAGGAGCATGAGAAACTGGAGAAATACCAGGGCCTCAGAGAGGAAYTGGAAAAGACCTGGAAGGTGAAGACCACAGTGGTGCTGTGGTCATCGGGGCCCTCGGGGCAGTCACCCCCAAACTGGAGCAGTGGCTAAAACAGATCCCAGGAACAACATCCGACATCTCAGTCCAGAAATGTGCAGTTCTAGGCACAGCTAAGATACTGCGCAGAACCCTCAAGCTCCCAGGCCTCTGGTAGAGGACCTGAGCTCAGAGGATGAAAGAGACCACCCRCGGAGGGTGAGAAGGGAATTTTATTTATATATGCAGTCTGGAAGTCTTGAATTGGATTGACTCCAAAAGGTAATCAGTTGTATATGGATATACAATTACTTCCCGAGCGATTCTTAAAAATCTTTTCTATGGCCCATTAAATGCTTACACTACAGATAAGCACACACTCATGAATGTACACACAGCTAAAAGCAAAAACGTTATCCCTTTTCACCTTTGATGGCTCACAATAAAAAATATAAAGTATATATAATTGTAACTCTTTAATAAGAAGGCCAACATAATAAAAGAATAAACAACTAGATCAACCTAAACTATTGAAGGTGTTGGTAAAATGTTAAGTTAAAACAGAAGATAGAGCCAAACTGTCAGATAAACTGATAATAATGTATATTGCAACAACATTTTGCCCAGTATTTAGGAGTAACAAAAATGTTAAAAAAAAATAAAATAAAACTCATTGTATAGCATTAAAGACAAACATATTAGTGAATTATAAAATAATCTGGTTTCAAACATTAAAATAAATGTCTGTCTGATGACTTTTGGTGACACATAACACTGGGTTTTCAGTTGTATTGAACATGCCGGCCAATTTTCCTGACAACATGTACATTTTAAGAGAGCTGCCTAAATGCATCATTAGATCCAGTGATTGTGTTGCTTTGGGGTGAAGATCAATAGTATTTAGTCTTTCAAAGGCAACATCTTAATGCGACTCCATCAGAGGAAGTAACGGCTTCCAAACAGAAGCTGCTTAAACACAACAAGACTGAGGGGTACATTTGTTGAAAATTGAGGCTAGTACAAACTTTGTTAAACTGTAACATTCATTGAAAATATGTACAGAAATTGCATTAAATAATGTTGAATAAGAAAATTAGGTTGCCTGTCCACCAGTGCTTTTACTGGGGCAGAACCCCATTGTAGAGCATAACAGACCCAATAAAAGGGACTCAAATGATCTCCAGATGTTTTAAAATTATTTCTAAAGGCACATTTTTTTTGTTGTAATAGATAGATTACTGTCTTCCATAATGTGTTGCCATTGTGCTCTTGTTAAATGGCTTATTGTGTATGCATGAAATTATATTTTTAGGAATCACTTTTCAGACATTTAGGGTCTGTTCCGATTTGTTATTTGTAATCCATCTTGATTGCTTCCATGGCATGTGGTCTGCTTCAACTGGTCAGGTTGTCCAGTTAACCAAATTGTATTTGTTTGTTTGTTTGTTTTCTTTTGTGTGATCGGACATAATTTACGTGCTCKGAATGCAAATACAAGCTGACATTTTTTGTTGAGCTGTCAGATGTGACAGAGAATATCTGCTTTTGTGTCTGATTGTAGTGTACAGACACCTAAACTATAATATTATGACACAACATGGTTCAGATTATCTTTTAATAAATTTTATTATATAACTCTGTCAAAACAAAGACTGAAGATTTTAACCTTTGAAACATGGTGCGCTGACAGCTATAAGTGCTTTATTTTTCACAGTTTCACTGTGAATGTGACATCAGCGCTGTGTTTAATTAGGTGATTATATTGTAACATAATGCGGCTCAGGCTGTTTTTCTGTAGTTTACATGCCATATTACAGTTTAAAGTGACCAAGCCTTCAGCTCTAAAAACAATGAGAACAAACCAAAGAGAAACCCATCGTACAGATTTTTGGTAGGCAACTGTGCGTTATAAAGTCCTGACTAAACACATTCTGTTGAGAAGATTTCTGATAAACAGCTCATTGAAACTTTTTAGCTGAAAAGGAAAAAACAAAAATAATTTTCCTAAGAATGTCTGGTCCTGCTGCTAGGCTTAGAAGGGTTATTTTCAAACTGTATGAGGATGAAAATGACCCAGMCCACCTCTGAAGGACATTTTATTTTCATATGACCAGTTTTCAAAACAGTTTTCATTTCTAATACTTTTTTGGCAGCTCTAAACAGTAGCTCAGACCAATATTTAGTGTTATTTAAATGCAGTAGCTAAAGATGCTATCCCACCGCACTCTGTCTAGATGACTTTCACAAGAAATCCTACTGAACAGCTCCAGGATTTCTTGTCACTTTTGCAGAGTTTTTAACTTCAATACATGTATTACAGAGGCCCTGTCAAAGTTTTGTTCAAAAATAAAAGAAAATTGTGTAATAACTTGTGCAAATTCCAACTCATCTGGAATTCATTTGAATTTGCCACCGGCATCTGCAACCAATCTCAAAAGTTCTAGAACTGTATTTTGACACATACAAGGTGGGTGGAGGCAGACAACAAAATGATGTGCATCACCAAGAATACAGTTTTACAAGCTGTGCAGACAAAGCTATGATTTTCAAAAACAGTACGATCAAAAAGCAGCCACGTAGCTTGATGGTCAGTTGGTTGGTTTAAAATGCTCAAGCCTGATCTACTAGGATCCCAAAAAATGAATTGCTGTGCAAACGAAATAAAATTGCACATGYTAAAGGTGGGTGTGTTGCAGATAATCGACTAAGATTGCAGCACAGATGACAAGTGCAAAATAGGTGCGGACTGCCCTGGTGAAATGAGGATTTTGCGTCTGCAGCTGGCTGTCTGGAGAGTTTGGGAGAGAGAGCCCTAAAAGAAAAAAAAACAAAAAAAACAATTCAAAGCCATGGAGCTGGAGTTGTTGGTGAAAGAGACACATGATCCAGATTCAATTCTATTCAATTCAAAAATACTTTATTGATCCCAGAGGGTAATTAGGTGCAAGAGATGAAAGAGAATGAAGTGTTGCAATGAGGGTTTTTTTCCATGAGAGATAATGTATGACATGGCTTCTATTTGTTATTGGCACCAAATCAGCCTTTAGGTTTTCCAGCAGCTCAAAAATGGCATTGCTGAATGTAAAATATGTATTTACTGGTTTTGTTTCTTCTCGCCACATTGACAGCAGGCATTTGTTTGTAACATTGTGCAGGTTTGCACCTGCCTTGAAAATGTGYTAAACATAGATGCAAAAACAGGAGTTGGTTCAAGGTTTGATAAATCATTTTGCTGGTTCAAAATGTTTACATTTGCATATCCTGCCAGTATATTGCACATTCTGATAATCACCAAATACTCTGTATATTCACGAAGGAACATGATAAATAGATTGCACCTGCTATTTTTGCTCATTTGATGGATGCAATCCCCTGTGCACATGGTCAGTAGGTCAGCTTTGCACACATTATTAAGTTTCCACTTGTTTTTATACATGCAAACCTTCAGTAGATCAGGCCCTCAGAGTTCTCTGAGACTGCAGCTGAAAATTCATGTATTTTCTCACAATTTCTCCAGTTTTGAGTTACAGACTAATCTTCCAGCTGTCACAGCTCAGTGAGATATGACCTTCAGAATCATTATTAAAAGCCGTTTTAAACAACCTCTTTAAAACACTTCCACCTTAGGTTACAGACCGCCAAATGTTAAATGCTGAATGTCTCTGTCTTGCTTATTATGAATCTTACTTTTTTTCCCTTCCTCTTCTTCTGAACTCAACAGCAAACAAGCCAAGTGCAGCCTGAAAATGTTGGCACAAAGCTCTCACACAACAGTGGGGATGCAGAGGGCGGCGGCAGCAAAACGACAAAGCCACATAAATACAACTGAACAGACGGCATGTCATCGCAGAGCAGCCTGCATTGCCTGAAGGATGTTTCTAAGAGCACACACTTTGCACACTTTCACAAAAAAAGTGTGCCCATTCACACATTACCTTACACACTCACTTTTAAACACACATACACACAGAAAGACATATGCATATTGGCATTGTTAGAAGAATCTGAGATACTGGGACTGTCAACAAAACTCAATCTTTCATCTGAAAACTTCATAGTAAAATGGCATGCGTTTAGAAGTTTTTTTCAAAGGTAGCAATGGCACTGGTAACTTGTTTTATAATTGTTCATTTGTTGTTTACTTATTTGAATTTTGAAGAGTAAGGACACTGCTTTCTAAATGTGTGATCTTTTAAGAAAAAAAAACTTTCCACTGGTGAGGTCTTACACTGTTTCCTGTGACAAGTATATCAATTGACAAATAAAAAGTACTCCTCCTACTACTATTATTACTACTACCCAACTTAGAATATTGTTTGTCACTCATTGTAGCAAGGTTAATTTACTCCACATTTTGAAATACAAAGGCTCAAGTTGGCTGGCCAACTGTTCAACATTTAATATTTCAGCACTCTTTTCTGCCTTTAACACTCCTGAGGCAAAGAGCCAAAGACTCACAATGGGTCGTCTCCCTGAGAATGTGCCATGCACTGAGTAGTAACTCCTAGCTACATGTATCTGTGTTATTTGACCTTTCTGTGCCCTTTCAATAAACTGTAATTTTCAGTAAATGTGTGAAGAATAAATTGTTCTTTGTGGGAAAGAAATGAGTGAGCATGTTTGTGAACTACAGACAAAAATGCTCCAGTTAGAATTTTAGTCTTTCTGAGTGTTGCCTGCTTGTCATGTTCAAACACAGCTGCAAAAGAGGTAAAGACACGTTTAAAACATAATGATCCAGCACACTGTTTTGAAGTTTCACTGTGTAACATTATAGCAGACCTGTGAAATAACCCCTGTGTTATTTCTAACCRTGTTAAAGTCCCATGCAAATAAGAAACATAACTTCAAGGCCTGAAAAAAAAGTTCTAGTTGTCCAGAATGTTTTTTTTTTTTTCATGAAGCTAAAGTGGACATAACTGAGAGTACCTTGTTCATTTATCATGTTTTAGAAACTACAATTTATTCTATCTGTGGTTTTCGTCTCAGTCATCGAGCAGTGGATCCAGATTTTACCCTTACAGAGTTTCTGAAGGGATTATGAGAGTTTAACTTTCCAGGTTTGTGGATTTAAACAATGATTATGAACATGCTCATAAAGGCATTCTGCTGGGGCGGGTGCTACAGAAAAAAACAGGGTGCCAGCATCACTTTCAATGGCTATTCAGACTGTGTATAACCAAAGCAAAAATTGGGTTTTCATCAACAGTGAAAAGTTCATCTTTTGTTGGTGCAGGTTGACGTTCACTACAGTTGTTTCTTGTCTTTAGTCCTGTTTGTGAGGTTTATGAACAGGATCCCAGGTTCAATCATGGAGGAGTACATCAGGTTTGGGAATCTCAAGAATCAGTTTTTGTTGTTTTTGCAGATGAAGTGGTTATTTTGGCATCTCTGAGTCATGAACTTCAATGTGCATGGAATTTCATCCTACTAAGAGTCCACCCTCTACATCTACATGGATCTCAAAATGTGCCTTCCAGATTAGGAATGAGTCTTTGTGTCATGTAAAATAGTTCAAATATCTGGGAGTCTTATATATAAGGAATGAAGGAATGGAGCAATCAATATATTGACAAATTTGGACATTGTCTGCAGTAAAACATGTATTGGTCCAGTCTGTTTTATTGGAGAAAAAGCTGAGCTGAAGGGAAAAGATTGTCATTTTTTGTTCTAATTTACATCTTTCACTTGGGACTGAAAGAATAAAATCATGGATACATAGCTAAAATGGGTCTCTTGCTTAGGGTGGTTGGTCTCAGCCTTAGAGATAAAGGGACAGGCTCTATCATCAAGAGGGGACTTAGTATACCTGCTGCTCCTCCTCAGTGAAGAGTCGACTGAGGCGGCATCTGATCGGATGCCTCCTGGATGCATTTCTTTGGAGTTTTTCCAGGTACAATCTACTGATAGGAGAACCTGAGGCAGACCCTGAACTTGCTGGAAGGATTATGAATCTTCTCGGGCTTGGGCATGCCTTGGGATACCCCAGGAGAAGCTGGAGAGCATTGCTGAGAAGAAAGGTTTCCCTCATTTTGCCTATGTAATTCAAACAAGCAACAGCAAATCAATGAATGGAAAATAATTTGTTTGACATGTTTGAAAGAAAATGTTCTGTTCAGTTTTTACTTAAAGGGTTACATGTTACTGCTTTTTCAAGATAATTTGATATTTCTAACCAGAAGGATGTCCCCAGCATTGGGTTGAACTACTGGTAATCAAATGCAATTTATCAATCTTACATCTGCATGTGATCTGCAAACGCTAGGTTAAAGCTGTAAATGTGTGTACTTTAGTCCAGAACATAATCATTTTCCAAGGCTAAACAGCAGGTTTCAGTTCCAAAAAATACAAGTTATGTGAGCCTGTTGTTAGTCAACAAACCGAGTTACCTAAGTTCAGCTAAACTGCAACTGAGAGCAAAAACAAACAGTGAGGGAAATTGAAAAAAAAAAAAAAAAAGCTCAGACAAAACACCAGTCACTTTATGCTGATCTCCGAAATAACACAGTCTATCAGATTCTATGCAATGAAAACTGAATGGTAAATGTAATCTGCAGCTGCTAAAGGTCACTAAATTCTCCAAATTTTAAAAGGTTGATTGTTACAAATATTACATATGGAATTTTAAGACAGGGGGTACTCGAATCACATGACTTGGACTCAAGTCAGATTTGAGTCATTAATATTAAGAATTTAGACTTAACTTGAAAAAATGTTCAGACTTGTGACTTGACTTGGACTTTTACACCAATGACTCAGGACTTGAATTGGACTTGACCCTGATTACCTGAAAATACTTGAAATTTATCCCAAAATCTAAAGTTTAAAACATTATTTATAAAGTGGGCCCCGTGAATTTATTTCACTCATTCCTTATTAATAAAGGCAGATCATCGTTTTTCACACTCTACATACAGCGGCTAGACAATGAAACTGAAACACCTGTCATTTTAGTGAGGGAGGTTTCATGGTTAAATTGGCCTGGTGGCCAGTCTTCATTAATTGCACATTGCACCAGTAAGAGCAGAGTGTGAAGGTTCAATTAGCAGGGTAAGAGCACAGATTTGCTCAAAATATTGCAATTCACGCAACATTATGGGGGATATACCAGAGTTCAAAAGAGGACAAATTGTTGGTGCACGTCTTGCTGGAGCATCTGTGACCAAGACAGGAAGTCTTTGTGATGTATCATGAGCCACAGTATCCAGGTTACAGGTGCTGGTCATAAAATTAGAATATCATGAAAAAGTAGATTTATTTCAGTAATTTCATTTAAAAAGTGAAACTTGTATATTATATTCATACATTACATACAAACTCATATATTTCAAATGTTTATTTCGTTTAATTTTGATGATTACAAATGACAACAAATGAAAATCTCAAATTCAGCATATCAGAAAATTAAAATCTTGTGAAAAGGTTCAAAATGGATGGCACCTGGTACCACACTCTAATCAGCTAATTAACTCAAACCACCTGCAAAGGCCTTTAAATGGTCTTTCAGTCTAGTTCTATAGGCTACACAATCATGGGGAAGACTGCTGACTTGACAGTTGTCCAAAAGACGACCATCGACACCTTGCACAAGGAGGGCAAGACACAAAAGGTCATCGCTAAAGAGGCTGGCTGTTCACAGAGCTCTGTGTCCAAGCACATTAATAGAGAGGCGAAGGGAAGGAAAAGATGTGGTCGAAAAAAATGTACAAGCAAGAGAGATAACCGCACCCTGGAGAGGATTATGAAACAAAACCCATTCAAAAATGTGGGGGAGATTCACAAAGAGTGGACTGCAGCTGGAGTGAGTGCTTCAAGAACCACCACACACAGACGTATGAAAGACATGGGTTTCTGCTGTCGCATTCCTTGTGTCAAGCCACTCTTGAACCACAGACAGCGTCAGAAGCGTCTTGCCTGGGCTACAGAGAAACAGGACTGGACTGCTGGTGAGTGGTCCAAAGTCATGTTCTCTGATGAAAGTAAATTTTGCATTTCCTTTGGAAATCAAGGTCCCAGAGTCTGGAGGAAAAGAAGAGAGGCACTTCATCCACGTTGCTTGAAGTCCAGTGTAAAGTTTCCACAGTCAGTGATGGTTTGGGGTGCCATGTCATCTGCTGGTGTTGGTCCATTGTGTTTTCTGAGGTCCAGGGTCAACGCAGCCACATACCAGGAAGTTTTAGAGCACTTCATGCTTCCTGCTGCTGACCAACTTTTTGGAGAAGCAGATTTCATTTTCCAACAGGACTTGGCACCTGCACACAGTGCCAAAGCTACCAGTACCTGSTTGAAGGACCATGGTATCCCTGTTCTTAATTGGCCAGCAAACTSTCCTGACCTTAACCCCATAGACAATCTATGGGGTATTGTGAAGAAGAAGATGCAATACACCAGACCCAACAATTCAGAAGAGCTAAAAGCCACTATTAGAGCAACCTGGGCTATCATAACACCTGAGCAGTGCCACAGACTGATCGACTCCATGCCAYGCCGCATTGCTGCAGTAATACAGGCCAAAGGAGCCCCAACTAAATACTGAGTGCTGTACATGCTCATACTTTTCATGTTCATAYTTTTCAGTTGGCCAACATTTCTATAAATCCTTTGTTTTAATTGGTCTTCAGTAATATTCTAATTTTCTGATATGCTGAATTTGAGATTTTCATTTGTTGTCATTTGTAATCATCAAAATTAAACAAAATAAACATTTGAAATATATGAGTTTGTATGTAATGTATGAATATAATATACAAGTTTCACTTTTTAAATGGAATTACGGAAATAAATCTACTTTTTCATGATATTCTAATTTTATGACCAGCACCTGTAATGTCAGCATACCACCAAGAAGGACCAACCACATCCAACAGGATTAACTGTGGATGCAAGAGGAAGCTGTCTGAAAGGGATGTTATGGTCTAAAACCAGGCGTTTCAGTTTCAACACCTGTATGTGTGTGTGAGCTGCAGCACAGCAAATCAAATAAACCTGATTTAAAGAAAAAAAAAACGTATAACTGCAACATTGTTAAAAAAAAATACTTGAAAGAGCTTAACATTCCAAGTTTCAGACTTTGGACTTGACTTGAAAGTTGGCTGTCCTGACTTGAGACTTAAATCTGACTTGACTGTCTTTGCTTGAGATTTGACTCAGGACTTGATGATAAAAACCTGAGACTTACTAAACAGTGACTTGTTCCCGCCTTTGTTTTGAGATATTATTTCACTTTGACAACTTCAAAAACTATTGTGTGTTTAAACAACTTTTACAGTTTGTTTAAGCTACTTTTTCCAGGTGTATATTTGCTAATTTTTTAAGTGTTAGCATATGAGTTGTACATGATGTTTAAATAAACTGATGATTGTGTTGCGTTTCAGTTCAAAAATCAAAGTCTAGAAACAAAACCTGTCTTATTTTGCCTGTCCTAAGTGAAGTACTGTTATAGATGTTCATCATCTCTTAGGTTTATTTACCTTTATTTAACCAGGCAAATCTATTTAGCAAGGAAGGCCAGAGGCCTGAAGGCAACCTAACTTTCATGATTTTGGGCTGTTGAAGGAAACCAGAGTACCTG